GCCGTGTGCTGGCAGAGGGAAGGGCAGCTCCGACTGGTCAGAGGCACTCAAGGTGGGCTGGTTCCCTCTGCAGGAAACCTCCAAAGTAAATAAACAAAAGCTCAGCCCGGGCAGGATTGAGCCTGAAAGCCGTGGTTAGAAGCAGCTGATCAAAGGACAAGTTGCATTTATACTCTGCTTATAAGAAGCAATTAGCTACTTGGTCATTCACACCAATTTCAGAGAGGATAGCAAAGCCACCCGGTGGCTCCATCTCAGAAGATAAGGAGTGAAGTAGCCGCCACTGGAGCTCTGCCCCTATTGCCCAAGTGCAAGCTGCCGCCATCACCCCCTGCCTCAACCACAGGGCCTCCTAAGTGGTCCCTCTGCTTCCTTCCAAAATGCACATCACTCTTCGCTCGTACACACTCTAATGGCTTTCCACTGCGCGTAAGAGCACATCCCAGCACCACGCTCTGCGTGCAGAGCCCTCATGGGCCTGGCTCCTACTTCAGGGCCCACCCAGCTGGGGGGGGGGGCTGCAGCCACACCTGCCTTCCTGCAGCTGCTCCACCTGGAACATGAGGCGCGCCTCCCCAACTCAGCTAAAATGCCACCTCCACACCGCCCTGCCCCAGGCACTTGGCCCCTTCTTCCCTAGCACTGACCACTGTCTGCAACTACCCAGTCTATGCTGGCTGCTTTGCTGGCTCTCCTGTTCAGAGTTCCAGCTCCACAAAGACAGGAACTTGGTCTGCCTGCTCACTGGTAAAGGTTCAGGTCCACGAACAGCAGCCGGTGTACCATGATGCTTCATACTTTTATTTATTTGAGAGGTAGAGTTACAGACAGGGAGAGGGAGAGGCAGAGAGAAAGGTCTTGCATCCACTGGTTCACTTCCCAAATGGCTGCAACAGTCGATCCAAAGCCAGGAGCTTCATCCGGGTCCCCCATGTGGACCATTTTTTACTGATTTCCCAGGTCATAGCAGACAGCTGGGTCGGAAAAGGAGCAGCCAGGACTAGAACCAGTGCTCGTATGGGATGCCAGCGCCATAGGCAGAGGCTTAGCCTGCTACGCCTCAGCTCCAGCCCCACAAACAACTGTGTTCAACACAGTTACATGACTTGGAGAATGAATGATGGCTAAAACCTCTGGGCTTTCTAATCTTTATTTATTTAAAAGGTAATGATACAGATAGACAGGTATCTTCCATCTACTGGTTGACTCCCCAAATGCCTGTAACAGCCACAGATGGACCAGGCAGAAGCCTGGAACTTCATCAGGGTCTCATGTGGCTGGCTGGCAGGGGCCCCAGTATTTCAGCCATCACCCACTGGCTCCTAGAGTGTGCATTAGCAGGAAGCTGGATGAGAAGTGGAGGCACGACTTGATCTGAGGCACTCTGACACAGAATAAGAGGAACCCACTGCACCACAAGGCCCACCCCGAATCTACATTTTAACTGAGGCCAAAATAGTGAAAACCCAATTTAACTTAAAATACAAGTGATCAATCATCTGCTTTAACAAAGGTCTCCAGGGACTGGTGTCACGGTGTAGTGAGTTCAGCTGTCACTTGGGTTGCCCGATGGGCACTGGTTCATGCCTCAGCTGCAACACTTCCAACCCAGCTCACGGTTAATGCTCCTGGTGCAAGTGCTTGGGTCCCTGCACCCAAATGGGAGATTCGGCCTGGCCCAGCCCCGGCAGTTGAACCACAGGATGGAATATCTGCTTTTCAAATCAAGTTTTAAAAAACAAGTAAAAATAAAAAGGATCCTTTATTGCATTTGAAAATATTTGGCTTACAGATCTTAAGTGTGCAGACTTTTTAGAAGATAAATCTATGGTGCAAAGGGAACTAACTTCCAACACATGACCATTACCTGGTACACAGAAAGCACCTAATACACACACAGCTGCTGAATAAACACATGAGCACTGGAACACAGAGCATAACTGTCAAAGTGCACTTAGACTGGAAACAGCAAATCTGGCTAGATTTTAGGTTTCACTTTTCAATGTATTTGATAAACTGACATATACACTTAAAATCCACTTAAAATCGCAATACAGGCAATACCAGGCAGGCACAAATACAAATAAATTCTGAAAGTTACTTGGCAGTCCTGTCTGTTCTCACTTCCAGATATGCAGAGGCATCGAGAAATAACAGACCTCCTCAAAACTGCCAGGTTTGGGGGGATACCTGTGGGTTCAGTATGAAAATCACAAATACTGAGACGTTCTTTGTTGTTAACAATCGATGTTAAAAAAAAAAAAAAATCAAGTGTTCCAGCTAGGCTAATGAACTTGCACTTTGATAACTAAAATGCAATGCACACGTGTCCTAATATTCCAAATCATGTCCTTTTTTTTTTTAAAAAAAAGCACATCTTATTTAACAATCGCTTTAAAATAAAACCCTTCTCTGTTTCAGCTCCATTAGAACATCAGGAACTTGCTCTACACATTCAACAGGCAGGTATCCATCTGCATCAACCAACGCCCACTCCCTTCCCGGGCCCTACCAGGAGCTGCAGTTGCAAAGGTCAAAATGGAAAAGAAGTCAGCTAATAAACTAGATGTGCAAGTGTCTGCCAGAGGCAAGCGCTGGTGTCGTGTGTGTGTGTGTGTGTGTGTGTGTGTGCTCCTGAAGAAGCATTTTAAAATCAAATATCAATGCACTCTGCAATTACACAGATTGTGTGTACTGTCTGTGCCTTGTGACTCCCTAGTTTATACGGTGTTAACAACTAGTCTCTTCACTTTCACCCAAGTAGGCCCCAAAGAGAGTCCCTTTTAGAACTGATAACCCCAAGAAATGAATTTTCAAAGAACATTTTCATGTTCTAAAATATCTCCCGGAATAGCACTGTCTATACAAATGATTCAATTTCAGGAAGTAACTTATAACAGCTGCACCACCTAGCAATGAAACATACAATAACTTCGTTTTAAAACTTACACTAACAGGCATATGCAGATGTAGCTCCAAAAAACATCTCATAGTGTGCTGCTGCTCTGGAGTTCAACAATTTTAAAATAACACGATTCCGAATGCAAATCAAGCTCTCAGCAGACAGTTCATTTACATCAACTTTTCAAAATCATTGCGCTGGGACAAGGCTGACTGTTCTCATAAAGGGCCCTGGTGAAAACACAAGACTTTGGTCTGGTGTTTTCGCCGTCTCCCCTGTAGCAACTACATACAACCCCATCACTCCTGCAGCAAGTGGCATCACATTAAGTATGTTCTGGAAGAGTAACTAAAGCTTAAAAACAGGACTGGCGCTGAGTTGTTTTTTTTTGTTTGTTTGTTTGTTTTGTTTTGTTTTTTACTCCTTATTGATTTTGGAATAAAACCACTTAATGGGTCTCAGTTCCCCTCCTCTTTGCCCTTTCAGTATAAAAAGTATAATAAAAGTAGACTCAAATTCTCAACCCAGAATAAGTAAAATATAACCAGACAACGCAGTGAACCAGTTTTGAAATTTAGTATTATTTATAGAAGCTCGTTAGCCCTAACTTCAAACCAGGAAACCTGAGTACTATCCGTTCTGATTCCGTACAGAACTACTTTGTAAGGACAAAAACCACCTGACTCTCCAGCAAGTCGTCTCATCTGCCCCGCAGCTGTGTTTGGGGAAGTGCTGGGAGGGAGCTGTCTAAGAACCGCCGTTATCCGCTCCGGGTCTCCGGGCTCCTAGCACTGGAGCTGCAGGTGAGGCCGCAGCTGTTCACAGGAACGTCTCTACAGAGCAGCCAGAGGAGGCAGAACCACCACCTGGTGCGCACCGGCTCTCTCCGCCCGAGCCCCGCACACCTGCTCCCGGGGCGGGCCGGACACCGTCCTCCCGCCGCGCCCCCGAGCCCGATCGGCCGGCGCCAGTGGCTCCGGCGGAACCGGCTCAGTTATCCTGAGCGCGCTCACGTGCCTGGAAATACAACTTTATGGAAATACAAAAAAAGTCCCAAGTTCACACGCACAACTCAGTCCGCAGACCCCGCCTGCCCCGGGAAACCGGGCGGTTACATCAACGGAAGCCCCCGGGGCCAGCGCCGAGGGCGCCAGGGCGCCGACACCCCGCGGTCCCGCACGGGCACAGAAGGCTGAGAAACGCCCGGGCCCGCCGAGCCCCGACCCGACCCGACCCGACGGTTACCAGGCTCCCAGCCCCGCGCCTGCCGAGACGCGGGCTCCGCATGGCAACCCCGCTCCGGTCACCGGCGCCGGCCCCGCGCCGCCTACCTTGGCCACCCAGCTGAACAATGGTGACATCGCGGGCCGGGCGGCGGCCTCCTCGCCCGCCGGCTCCCGCTCACTCCCGCCGCCGGCCCGTGGGCCCGCGGGCGGCCGGGGGCGGGCTCGGGGCGCGGCGGGGCCGGGGCATCGCTCCCCCCGCGGTGGCGGCGGCGGCGGCGGGCTCCTCCCCGCTCGGCCCTGCCCCGGGAGGTCGCGCCGGCCCGCGGCCGGGCAGAGAAGGGGAAGTGGGAGGGGAGAGCGCGGGGAGGGGGCCGGGGAAGGCAGGGGAGGGGAGGGAAGGGGATGGCGCGCGGCCGGCCCCGCCCCCGGCCCGCCCACCTCGCGCTCCGCTGCGGGCGGGAAGTCGGAGCGCCCGAGGGTCCCGGCCTGTCGGGGGCCGACCTCCAGGAGCTTCTAGCCCTGGGGTTTGATGGTTTGATGGAAGCCCGCCCTCGCTTCCAGGGGTCACCCACACCCCTGTGGCGGCTCCTTCTTCAACGCTGTAGGCTGCTGGGGACAAAAGGGCCAGTGTTCCCCCACCCGGGGCCCCTGATACCTTTACGTAATCAGAGGTGGTTTTCCTGGACCCCGGGACGCGCAGCCAGGGAAACCAGACACGGGGCAGAGGTAAGAAGAGTGACTTCACCAGCACGGACGGCCCCGCGGCGCTGAGACGGCCTGGCCCCTTTATGGCTGCAAAGGTTGGGCTGAGTTTCAAACTCAGACGCTCCTGAGTTTGACGTTTGAAAAAACCAAAGTCCAAAGGTAGTAGGAGCTGTGCGATGGCGGTGTCGGGTCAAATGGCCAGCCCCGTCCAAGAACTCAGCCTCTCTTTTCCTTATGTCATATGGGTGACGCATTTTCTTGGTGATGAGCCAGTAGGAAATGTTGATGCTCAGCCCCCATAGGGAGCATCTGTTACCTATTGCAGCTTACAGCGGAAACGTGGAAACAAGCCGTATCTGGGGGTCAGAGACCTAGGCCCATCTTCCCTGGCTGTCTCTGGCCCCCAGGTCTCTCTCTGGTTTCAGTGAAGCTAGGGCTGCAGTGGTCCCAACACTGGGCTGGGACTGAGAAACCTACTTCGAAGTTCATTCCAGTGGTGCTTCCATTCCTGAGAGCTGTTGGACCCCTGGTCTCTCAGTTCCTGGCTAATCTATCATCCTTAGCAGTGACTACCAAATGGCCGGCACAAGGGACCCAAGATAGAGGATGTGTCCCAAAGGAAACGAGTCTCCGTATAAATCAGATAATCTCAGATGGACATCCCAACACACCCACTACAAGTAAGAGCATAGCTGGGGAGGAGGTGACTCCTGGGCCAAGCAAAGAATTGGGGTGGGGGGACCCATGCACAGGCATCTCTTCCTCCAGCCTCGGGTTGGGATGCACTAGAAAGGGATCGCCTGCAAAGGCATGGGAAAGTCAGCAGTGGGATCAGTGGGAACGTCTCAGGAAGCGCTGTTCTTCCAGTCGTTTAAGCGTTGATAGTCCCTTGAACCAAACTCCTTAGCACATCACTTTCCTAACCAAGTACAGAGGGAAAGGCCAGTGGCTCCAGGAGAGTGGAAACCCTCAGGTCTCTAGTAGACCTTGCCACTCCAAGTGTGGTCCCTGGACCAGCAGCCTCCACGTACACAGGCAGTTTGTTATGAATGCCAGAAGCTCAGGCCTCGCCCCGCTGAATCAGAAACATTGCTTTCCCGTAATTCCAGGTGGCCAGTGTGCACAGCAGAGTTTGAGATTCACTGACATTGGTCATAAAAAGTAAAGATAAGGGAGCCAGTGCTGTGGCAAAGGGGGTAAAGCCGCCACCTGCAGTGCTGGCATCCCATACGGGTACTGGCTGCTCCATTTCCGGCCCAGCTCTCTGCTATGGCCTTGGGAAAGCAGTGGAAGGTGGCCCAAGTCCTTGGGCTCCTGTACCTGCATGGAAGACCTGGAAGAAGCTCCTGGCTCCTGGCTTTGGGTCAGCCCAGCTCCAGCCATTGCGGCCATTTGGGGAACAAACCAGCAGATTAAAGACCCCTCCCTCTCTCTCTCTGCCTCTGCCTCTCTATAACTCTACCTTTCAAATAAATAAATAAATCTTTTTTTAAAAAAATCCTGAATTTAACTCAAGAAACTGATGTAATTAGAAAAACTTTTCTGCTACAGAAGATAGCAAGGCTACAAAAGGAGAAATTACATTAGGAGAATAAAAACTGTATTTCTTGCCAAAAAAAAAAAAATCAGACCAAACCCTGAATGTAACAGTTACAATAGAAGGAAGCATGCAGCAAGTGAAATAGCAACATGGAGGCTTCATTGTTGAAACCTGGCTGCAATTCTTTTTTTCTTTTTTCTTTTTTTTTTAATTTTTTTTTTTTTTTTTGACAGGCAGAGTGGACAGTGAGAGAGAGAGAGACAGAGAGAAAGGTCTTCCTTTTGCCGTTGGTTCACCCTCCAATGGCCGCCACGGCTGGCGCGCTGCGACCGGCACACCGCGCTGATCCGATGGCAGGAGCCAGGTACTTATCCTGATCTCCCATGAGGTGCAGGGCCCAAGCACTTGGGCCATCCTCCACTGCACTCCCTGGCCACCTGCAATTCTACACCTCATCCAGGGAAGGGGCACCCCCCAGACCCTGGTTTGAAGCTGCCCAGAGCTGAAGGATCTTTTCAGCTCTCCGAGGTCTCCTGACCTGATCCCAGAGTGAGCAGAATTGCTGATTTCATGGGAAGGTAGGGGTTTTCCATTGCATGAACTTGATAGCAACATATAGAGCTCTAGCGTCAAGTACTTAAAGAAACACACGTCAAAGCTCTTATTTTAATTTACAGCCAACATGTAACTTACAGTCATTCTGCACAAAGGAGTTCTCTGTTTTAATCTGGAATTTTTTTTTTTTTTTTTTTTTTTTTTTTGACAGGCAGAGTGGACAGGGAGAGAGAGACACAGAGAGAAAGGTCTTCCTTTTTGCTGTTGGTTCACCCTCCAATGGCTGCCACGGCCGGCACACCACGCAGATCCGAAGGCAGGAGCCAGGTGCTTTTCCTGGTCTCCCATGGGGTGCAGGGCCCAAGCACTTGGGCCATCCTCCACTGCACTCCTGGGCCACAGCAGAGAGCTGGCCTGGAAGAGGGGCAACCGGGACAGAATCCGGTGCCCCGATTGGGACTAGAACTCGGAGTGCCGGCGCCGAAAGGCAGAGGATTAGCCTATTGAGCCACGGCGCTGGCCTTAATCTGGAATTTCATTAAAGGAAAGCTGTTAACATCAGACAATCCAACTCATCCTGCACTCAAGCCATTTCCTGAAAATGCCATTTGCCTCTCCTCCAAAATATGTTACCTTTCCCCCAAGGAACTGTATGTTCCTCTATGGAAGAACTGTATGAGGGGTCTTCCAAAAATTCCACACACACACAAAAAAATTGCATATTTTGAAAGAATTATGCATGGAATTCAACAACTCACACCAAAATAAGTATTTTTAAATTCTATTTTCCATGAACTTTTTGAAGTCCCTTTTTGGGGGCCAGGGTCAAATTCTCAGAGTCCCCAGGTGGGGGGCAGGCAGGTTATGTAAATGTGTGGAGAGAGCCAGGGGTGATATGATAAGCAAACTGGCATGTTGGAGAAGGCATGTGCAGTCAATGGAACATTCCACCCAGCTGACTAAATGCAAGCAGAGAGGTCATTACTGGTATTGGCCTCTGAGTTTACTTAAAGCTTGAATACACGATCTAGGGAGAGGTGTTGTAGTACAGTGGGTTAAGCTGCCACTTGCAACACCAGTATCCCATATTGGAATGCTGGTTTGAGTCCCAGCTGCTCCACTTCCAATCCCGCTTCCTGATAATGTGCTTGGGAAAGCAACAGATAACAGCTCAAGTACTTGGGCCCCTGCCACCCATGTGGAAGACCCTGATAGAGTTCTGGGCTCCTGGCTTCAGCTTGGACAAGCCCTGGCCATCGTGGTCATTTGGTGAGTAAACCAGTGGGTGGAAGATCTCTCTCTCTCTCTCTCTCTTTTAAATAAATAAATAAGTCTTTTTTAAAAAGGTTATGTGCAGAGAAATAGGCTTCCCCTATACACCTATAGCGATCTAAATATGAATGTCCCTACAGAACACCCAAGACAACTGTCTCTTTTCTTTTTAAAGATTTATATATTTATTTGAAAGTCAGAGCTACACAGAGAGAGAAGGAGAGGCAGAGAGACGGAGGGAGAGAGAAAGGTTTTCCATCCATTGGTCCACTCCCAATTGACTGCAACGGCCGGAGCTGCACCCATCCAAAGCCAGGAGCCAGGAGCTTCTTCCAGGTCTCCCACACAGGTGCAGGGGCTCAAGGACTTGGGCCATCCTCTACTGCTTTCCCAGGCCATAGCAGAGAGTTGGTTCAAGTGGAGCAGCTGGGACTCAAACTGATGCCCATTTGGGATGCCGGCACTGCAGGCAGCGGTTTAACCCACTACACTACAGCTCCGGCCCCGACAGCTGTCTTTCTAAGGAACCATAAAGGATGCTTTCACACCTCACCATCTCAGTTTTCCTGAGATATTAAGAAAAGACTCCTCCCCAAAGAATGACCTAGAAGCGTTGCTTCCCTCCTAAGCCTGACCATAGGCCCTAAGCAACCCCGGACACCCCCACCTCGCTCTTCTGTCAAGTTCCTCGTTTGAGGAGGAGCAAGAAGTGAGGACAGCAGGGCCTCCTGGGAGTTCAGAAGATGCCAGTCAGGGCACTGACTCAAAGGTGGAGGGCAGCGGGGCCAGGAGGCGGGCCAAAGCCTGCGTGACCTCACTCGGCTTGTCCCTCCCCACCACAGGACCTGATTAAAAATAGAGCCATTGTCATCTGACCTGACGTCTACCCGGAAACTCAACTGGGTTCCAAGTGAATCAGAACTACTTGGCAACACATCAGGAATGTATGCCCGCTCACAATTATGAATATTCATTAGCACCTACTGGTGCTGCGGGGAGGAGCAGAGACAGCTCTGGATCCCGTCCGGAGGCCCGCAGAGAAGCAGGGAAGCTCAGGCAGGAAGAGGAGGACCCAGGTGAGGCTTCCAGGAGCTCCCCCAGGAGGGAGAGGCAACTTCAGGCTGCAGAGGAAGAATCCGCTTCCCGGCTGGGAGACTTCGGGCCTCTTGCGAGGAGGAAGGTTTTCCAGTGAGCACAAAGGCGGGTTGAAGGATTCCTGTTTGTGGCTGGAAATCAGGCCTTCTGGCAGAAGAGACAGGATGGAAGTCAGGGCTGAGATGCTGTAGACTTAAGTGGTAGCCTGGCGTTATGTCGTCATCCCTTACGGGCATAAACGTTTGTTTCCAGAAGAAAACATTCACTAAGGATAATACCGAATCCAGGAAAGCCAAGCCTACAAATCCTGCTCTGTGACTTGAAAACATATTCCCATGCAAAGACTTGTCTATGAATGCTCACAGCAGCCTGATTCACAGTAGCTAAGACACGGAAACAAGGCTCACCTCCCCCAACCCATGCGGCAATGAACAGAATGTGGCAGATCCATACAATGGAATCTTACTTGTCAATCAAGCAAAAGGCAGAACTGAACATGCCATGGCGTGAACAGACTTTGGAATCGTCGCTCTAATTTAAAGAAGACAATCGGCAAAGACCAAATGTTGTAGGACTCTGTTCACATGAAATGTCAGGAACAGGCACATTCACGGAGACAAAGGAGCTGCTGAGACCGGAAATGAGGGGTTTTGGGTAAAGTCACCACCTGCTGTGCTGGCATCCCGTATGGGCATCAGTTTGAGTTCCAGCTGCTCCACTTCTGATTCAGCTCTCTGCTGGGGCCTGGGAAAGTGGTAGAGGATGGCCAAGTCCTTGGGCCCCCGCACCCACGTTGGAGACCTGGAGGAAGTTCCTGGCTCCTGGCTTCGGATCAGCGTGTCTCCAGGGGTTGCAGTCATCTGGGGAGTGAACCAGCGGATGGAGGACCTCTCTCTCTCTCTCTCTCTTTCTCTGTCTCTCTCTCTCTCTGCCTCTCTCTCTCTGCCTCTGTCTGTGGCTCTGACTTTCAAATAAATAAATAAATCTTAAAAAAAGAAAAAGGAGCTGGAAGGAAGAAAAAAATAGAGGCTGCTAAGGTGTACAAGATTCCTTTCAGCAGTGGTTAAAATGTTTTGGAATTTGACAGATGATGGTTGCACAACTTTGCGGATATACCAAAAGTCTAAATGTTATGGCATGTGACTTGTATCTTGATTTAAAAAAAAAAAATCCTTCTAGGTGATGATGTTTGAACAACTTTAGGTAAATTAGTTCCCC